CATAGCGATGTCGGTCTTCGATCACTAAAAATAAATGGGTACGAAATAACACCAGCTCCTCCAGAAAAGGTTATGTGTTACAAACGTCAATAAGTTTCCACTTCACCTGACAACGACGTTTGTTCATTGGCATGAGATCGAGTGGCTTCATCTCCTGGCAAGTATTTAGTGCCTTTTTCTTTCTGCCATATTTCTCACTCGTGGGGTCTGGATTCCTGATCCTCTTGCACCATTCATTCCTGTCCTGAGCCACCTTCACGTCCACTCCACGTGTTCATATAACGGAAACACCATGCAATAATTAAACGCGCCCTCCTTCGGATACCTGCAAAAATACAGGTTGTAAGGATGACAAGGACAACACACTGTATCATCTAAACTGGTAATTTTTAAAAATGGTTGGAAAAAAAGTATTTGTACAAATGTTACTTGTGTTTGCTAATCTGTTTTGACTGGACTATTGGCTGCTACATGATTTGTTTTTACTTGGCCTGGCCAACTCGTATCACGACACAGTCCTTCAAGGACACCAGCAGTGCTGAGATGTGGCCACCAAATGCAATCGTGGATGCAACACAAGGGGAGATAAAAAGGTTTTTCTATGCAATGTTTACATCGGAAATTTACAGAGGCGGGAATGTTTATTCTTCAGTTACAAGCGTGACATTGACTCAGGCACAGCGGAACGCTTTTAATCAGGGTATACTAAAACAGACTGCATTACTGCATATATAGATCATATAAATTTTATAGAGTTGGAAAAATTCAACACAGTACCGTACAGGCACTGCATAATAATTGAGATCTCTTTGCCAAAAATATCACTGCATGAAGGCTTAGCCTGTGTCGTCAAGGCGGTTGTTTCACTATACTACAACACAATGGTCAGTGCAGGCCAGTTGTGAAGGGGGGTCAGGGAAAGGTTCAGATATCACTCGTCACTCATGTTCACTCGTGGCTGGAAAATAAACCTCAGGTGGCAGAGTTTATCAGTAAGATATATAAGTAGCAAACGCACATTCTCCTGAGCACAGGATGATGGCAACGGCTGTGGTAATCCCAAGGTCTTTGGGAGAGATTAATACTATTACAGTACAGCACTGTAACAGTATTAATCGTCTCAAAATTCCATTATGCCAAATGCACTGCGTTGTAGCTTTTCAAGTCACATTGCTGATGTCTGTGGAACATTTTTCACGATTGCATTTGCTACGTACGCTCAGTTACACACCGGCTATAAGAAACAAAACTGAGACATTGGTAAGGTGCCAAATTTCTCAAGATTGTCATATTATGTGCCATCAAATTTCAAAGTGACCGTACCAAAACTGGCTATTACAAATGGTGGACATGCAATTACCCAATAAACCACGTCACCGTTGGCCCAACGGTGGCATTTGGTTGGCCCAAGGTTGAGACATAGTTGGTATTTAGTTGGCCAAACGTTGGAATATGTTGGCGCAACGTTGAATCAAAGTTTGTATGTTGTTGGCCCAATGTAAAACCAACGTTGGCATGCCGGTTGGAACCTTTGACCTAACGGCCGAACGTCCCATGTTTACTGGGTATAGGCTGCAAATACCTTCGTTTGTAAATATTTTTTTTTAATGTCTAGTTTTATTCACGTTTCACCTTGCAAACCGACCAACAGTTGTACACCTATTTTTTTATCATCATCACCAACTCCTTATTTTAGACCAGGTAAGAGCCATTGGACAGCAAACGATCCTTTTGATAGCATTAAATTGAAAAAATACTGGGGCATCATCATCAGTCTTGGTCAATCCACTGCTGGATGAAGGCCCACCCCCAATGTAACAATAATCCACCTCGTCCCTGCACACGAGCTAATTTCATTGCTCCATCTCCCCTCTGGATGTCCTCTCTGGGATGCGTTCCATTCCTTGGATATCAGTTAAATTACGTGACCACCAGCCACCCTCCAAAAGCCAAATACTGTACATTAACGTTACAATTATGAGGCTTTTTATTTCAAAATTATTTTTAAAATAATACTGGAAACTATGCACATGATAATTAATGTGAGTTATACTGTCTTTGGTTATCAGCGTTAATTTAGAAAAGTCATTAACATGTCCTGTACCATTACATGGCCATGGCATTAAAGGACACAAAACAAGAAATCAGGATGCATTATCAGCCTTATTTAGGATACATCCCACGACGTCATTCTTCTAATAAGCTACCCGACTAATTAATGCTCCGAGACACACGACTGTTAGTCACAATAATTGGTCAATTGTGACCTCAGTATAGTGCCATGTGAAACGTATAATTAACACATCAGCATCATGTTAACGTAAATACGGTGGCGCATTAACCGTGCCGTATTCTCCATGTGTAGAGGCGCACTTCTCTCCCACCGACCACCGTACATGTAATTTTCAATCACGAGTTGGGGGTGCGTCTTTTTTTTAACCCCGCAGGTGAATGTGTGTGACAATCTTTGCGTAAAAAAAAAGATAAGTTTTGTCTTACCCTTCCAGGTGTTTAAGATGTTCAAATACCAAATAGAAACCTTTTTGCAAGGAACCGTGTCAGCATTCATCGCACGTACTTGCGGTGAACATGCAAACACAACATATGCTCTGATAATTATTATACACGGGCATTGTCTTTTTAAAGCTGATTGGCCTACACCAGAGACAGCCATCTGTATGGCCTCGTCTCACCACCAGTGTCAGAGCACAGAACGCCAACAAATGAACAGTACAAAGACAAGCAGTTTCAAAGACTGCCATATATTATTATCAAAACATGTTTTGTGTTTGCATGTCCACCACAAGTGCTGTGTGTGGTTAATGCAGACATGATTCCCTCCTAAATGTATTCTATTTGGTGTGTGAACATCGTAACCCCTGTCAACTCAGTCAGTCGACCACATGGCACCTGCTGGGTCTGTCCCGAGACCTCCGCCTGTCAGCAGCGAGCTCTCGACACTTCACGTGGTGGCCTCAAAGTGCACCTGGCCTGGCACAGGCTCTGTGGTGACATTTAGTGACGAATGGCGATTGTATTGGTATTAGTGGTGGGGGGTGGTAGTGGTGGGTACAGCTGGTGGTGCATTGAGGTGGTGGTGGGTACAGCTGGTGGTGCATTGAGGTGGTGGGTACAGCTGGTGGTGCATTGAGGTGGTGGTGGGTACAGCTGGTGGTGCATTGAGGGGGTAGTGGTGGGTACAGCTGGTGGTGCATTGAGGGGGTAGTGGTGGGTACAGCTGGTGGTGCATTGAGGTGGTGGTGGTGGGTACAGCTGGTGGTGCATTGAGGGGGTAGTGGTGGGTACAGCTGGTGGTGCATTGAGGGGGTAGTGGTGGGTACAGCTGGTGGTGCATTGAGGGGGTAGTGGTGGGTACAGCTGGTAGTGCATTGAGGTAGTGGTGGGTACAGCTGGTGGTGCATTGAGGGGGTAGTGGTGGGTATAACTGGTGGTGCATTGAGGGGGTAGTGGTGGGTACAGCTGGTGGTGCACTGAGGGGGTAGTGGTGGGTACAGCTGGTTGTGCATTGAGGGGGTAGTGGTGGGTACAGCTGGTGGTGCACTGAGGGGGTAGTGGTGGGTACAGCTGGTTGTGCATTGAGGGGGTAGTGGTGGGTACAGCTGGTGGTGCATCGAGGGGGTAGTGGTGGGTACAGCTGGTTGTGCATCGAGGGGGTAGTGGTGGGTACAGCTGGTGGTGCATCGAGGGGGTAGTGGTGGGTACAGCTGGTGGTGCACTGAGGGGGTAGTGGTGGGTACAGCTGGTTGTGCATTGAGGGGGTAGTGGTGGGTACAGCTGGTGGTGCACTGAGGGGGTAGTGGTGGGTACAGCTGGTTGTGCATTGAGGGGGTAGTGGTGGGTACAGCTGGTGGTGCATCGAGGGGGTAGTGGTGGGTACAGCTGGTTGTGCATCGAGGGGGTAGTGGTGGGTACAGCTGGTGGTGCATCGAGGGGGTAGTGGTGGGTACAGCTGGTGGTGCATTGAGGGGGTAGTGGTGGGTACAGCTGGTGGTGCATCGAGGGGGTAGTGGTGGGTACAGCTGGTGGTGCATTGAGGGGGTAGTGGTGGGTACAGCTGGTGGTACATTGAGGGGGGTAGTGGTGGGTCCAGCTGATGGTGTATCGAGGGGGTAGTGGTGGGTACAGCTGGTGGTGCATCGAGGGGGTAGTGGTGGGTACAGCTGGTTGTGCATCGAGGGGGTAGTGGTGGGTACAGCTGGTGGTGCATCGAGGGGGTAGTGGTGGGTACAGCTGGTGGTGCATTGAGGGGGTAGTGGTGGGTACAGCTGGTGGTACATCGAGGGGGTAGTGGTGGATACAGTTGGTGGTGCATTGAGGGGGTAGTGGTGGGTACAGCTGGTGGTGCATTGAGGGGGTGGTAGTGGGTACAGCTGGTGGTGCACTGAGGGGGTAGTGGTGGGTACAGCTGGTGGTGCACTGAGGGGGTAGTGGTGGGTACAGCTGGTGGTGCATCAAGGAGGTAGTGGTGGGTACAACTGGTGGTGCATTGAGGGGGTAGTGGTGGGTACAGCTGGTGGTGCATTGAGGTGGTGGGTACAGCTGGTGGTGCATTGAGGGGGTAGTGGTGGGTACAGCTGGTGGTGCATCGAGGGGGTAGTGGTGGGTACAGCTCGTGGTGCATTGAGGGGGTAGTGGTGGGTACAGCTGGTGGTGCATCGAGGGGGTAGTGGTGGGTACAGCTGGTGGTGCATTGTGGGGGTAGTGGTGGGTACAGCTGGTGGTGCACTGAGGGGGTAGTGGTGGGTACAGCTGGTGGTGCATCGACCGGTATTCTCGTTTAGCCAACCCATGGCACCTGCTGGCTCTGTCCCGAAACCTCACCCTGTGTCAGCAGCGAGCCTTCGACACAAAATTTATATAACTTTATCGGTATAGCTTTATTGACACTGATCAAGAGTTTATGGCTGAGGGGGGAGACGGGTCGGTTGGGGGGGGGTGTTGGTTGGGGGGGGGGTGGGGGGTGGGTTGGGGGGGCCGACTCGCGAGTGTACGGTAACACGTCACGTTTCTAATTAGCATAACATCGCGAGACTTGGTGGCTACGTCCCCCCCCCCGTCAAGCGAAGGAGTACGCGCGGTGGTCTCTCGCCCAACATGGCGGAGTACCTGGCGTCCATCTTCGGCACGGAGAAAGACAAGTGAGTGGCGCCTTCGCGGGGCTCTCTCGCCGCGTCTCCCTCACTCGGGGCAGTCGCGGCAGCAGCGGGCAAGCGGTCGGTCGCTGTCGGTGGTGAGCGGCTGCCCCCGGGGCGGCAACGGCCTCGAGCGCGGTGGCGCTCCCCCGCCACCCCCCACCATGGCTAACCTAGCGCAGGCCCAGGCGGCTTTCAGTGAATTAAATTGTTGTGAATGCGATTATTGTTGTTACGAATTGTGGCTGTGCTGCAGTAAATCCCCGGATTGTCCGAAGTCAACGGTGGTGTGCGTGTGCGATGCGGAGGCGTTTTGAGCGCGGAGCCGTCTTTACAATGGGCGATGTTACTCCACACACACATGTGGCGGACGCAGTAGAACGGACGCTGGCTACAACCGCGGTGTCGTGGCCAACGCACTGGATTTGCGATCTTGTCGGTCGCCCATTCCATTTCGTCTCCCGACGGGGAAGCTAAAAACGATGGACTTTGTTTCCTTGAAATATCCCTACCTCACGCCACGCAGCCCTATAATTGTGTGCGGAATATTTTTCGTGGAGGTCACGTATGGTTTGGCAAAGTGCGGGGTTTACTCTCGCCTCGAGCGAGACGCCTCAGGCCGGCGTGGAAGTAAAGTCAATTGTGTTTTCGCTTAAACACGTGGCGCCTTTCTAGGCACAAACATCTGCCACCCAAAGCGCAAATGGTTAAGTACAAATACCACAGAAGTGAGCTCCCTTTAGTGGAGGCTGCGCTTGCAGCAGTGGCGTGAGCAAACAATTTCACCGAATGTAATAACACCGGATTGTGCTGGTTGTCAGATGTCAAAGGCTACGCACGGTTGAGCCTAGAAAGAATATGAATAAGCCTACGCACAGTTGCGCAAAGATATCATGTAGCTACAGGTCTACGTAATGGGCAGTAGAGGGCAGTGAACTATATCGTACTGTACCATTCGTCTGGCGTTCGCAAACCCCCAGTGGCCAAAGTGGCGAAGTCTTGTCAAATATAACCCGCATGTCCGACGCGGCGTGGGGAGGCCTTCATGCAACAGTGAGGTTGTCAGAAGGGTTGTAAATGTACAAATCAAAAAAATCGCCCAAACCAGCACCGTTATTAATGTTTTAAACAAAATATTAATCCAGTCAAAGTTTTTCATCAAAATTGTGGGGCGTTGCTGATCTGTTTAGTCTCGGATTATTCGTATAATACTGAATACACATTTCAATGGCGGAAAAGTCTTCGAAATGATAACCAGTGTTGATATCACAAAGTGGCATTTGATTTCATTGACCGCAAAAGGTTGATGCAAGTCTGCTATCGAATACGATTTGACCTTAAAAATTCTGATTGTGAGCCAAGTGCCGACCAACACCGCCCCACCTGACCGAATATTAATTGTATACGTCGTGCAGATTGTGGAGGTTATATTGGCATACTTCACTCGCAGTACGGGTTGAAGGCAGGGAGCATTGAAATATATAGTACGTTACTGCACAATGGATTTTTTTGTACTTTGATCTGCTGTTCACGTAGCCCCCCGAGTCCTAATAGTAGTCAAGATGGTGACCCATCTAAAAACAATCCGGGCGCAACACTACTCACTTTCGAGATTGGGAGAATTCTGTGTGATTTGGTCTTAGGCAGCACAACTACGTTGAAATAAAAATACCTTGAAAGACATATCTGTAAATAATGTTGGCTTCCCCACAGTGTTGTGTTATTCTAATTGATTGTATTATGGGTTGAATCAACCACCAACTGGGATTTGAACTCAATACCTCCAAATTGTCACATCCTGTTCTTTGGGTCCTTCGGTAAAGTCACGTAGATAGGTTCAAAGAAAATAACAAAAACTACGACGTTTCAAACGCAACTGGAGACGACCGCTTGTGTTGCGATTGAAACGTAGTTTTTTGTTATTTTATTTGAACCTATCTACGTGACTTTACCGAAAGACCCAAAGAATATGAATTTCTGCAGTCACGAAAGCTTTAAGTTAAGATTTGTCACATCCAGCTACTCGCAGTGCCTTCCAGCTGGACACTTTAATACAGTTTGAAGACAAACGAGCCAGATGGGTTCATTTTAGGGTTCTCCAGACAATAATCCGTGTTAAGTCGCCTGTAATTGTAGTCCAATGCTAAAGGTGACACATGGCGGCAGGATGTGATGCGGGGCATAACCGACCGGGCCGTCTCAGATTGCCGTGTTGGTAACCTGAAGAGGGGTTTCTCGTGTTTCTTTGTCGCGTGCCACTTTGCTTTGTGTCAAGCACAGTGTTGTACGTGCCGCCGAGTGTGTGCGCGCGATTTCACGGCCAAGCCATTACACTTCGCTTTTTGTTGTAGGCCACCCCACTGCCCATGTCGTGGTCTTTGTTCTCGTGTCACACTTTGCTTGCCATTTCAAGTGCAAATGTTCACCTTATTTGAACGCTATCGGTTCACTTTGTTCTGTTTGAACTAGTGGTGTTAATTTGAATTAAACAAATTGGCGATACTGCATTGGCACTGGTGCTTAATCACAATTAAGACAACAACTCTTAACACCTTCCTCAATAACACTGGCCTTTCCTTCATATCACAAACGATGCAGTGAGACTTAATTATTTCCTGTTCTGATGACGTACGTGTGTACATCAGTTTTCCTTCCGATTCCGTTCAGATGACGTACGTGGACGTCATCGGAACGGAACCAGGAGAAACTGAAATAAAATCACTTTATTGGTACCGAGACTCCCACAAGGCCATGCGGGAAGGTCTGTGCACAGTTTGGCGCCATCTTTCATAGAGTATGGGTCGGTGGCTACAGTTCTCTGCGGTGAGCATGGCGCTATGCCTCTCTAAATAAAATTAACGCTGAACTGCTTGCGCGTTGTTGAGATTCAACGGTGAACAGGACCCACCCTGCAACTTGCAGTTGTCTCGAAATTAGTAAGGGTTAAGACGTGTATTTGCACTCTATGGCCAGCACTGTGTACACTAACGCACGGATTGCTATTCCACTGTGAAACCCTTGATGGCTTGCGACCGCCCATTTCTGAAAACTGCTTTGCCCCTGTATATATTAGTCCACTTTTCTCAGCTGTGACGTCTCTTCTCAGGGTCAACTGCTCCTTCTACTTCAAGATCGGTGCCTGTCGGCATGGTGACCGCTGCTCACGCCTGCACAACAAACCGACCTTCAGCCAGGTTGGACTGGCGCAAGCGACTCAAGCCATTTGGTCGTGCTTTTTTACTGCGCTTGATTAAGTGTGTAAAGTGTTGCCAGTGTGCATAATCTTAATTTTATTACTTTATTAACATCGATTCCGACACTCTTGTTACGTGCATCAAATTGTGGCTGTATGAATTTATTTATTTGTGAAGATCTTGCTTATTACAGAGAAACCCATCTTATCTGTGCTTATAAGAAGGACAACTATAGGTGGTCACTTATTGGTGGTTAGCCATGTAGTTTAGTACTTTTATCCACGCGAATAATTGCCAACGAATGTTTATAATGGGATGCATTGGTTGCCACTTCCTGGTCTTGCTCGTTGGAGCACAGGTTGAATGACCTTTGGGAAATTCCAGGATCAGATCAAAGCCAAATTTTATAAAAGTCTGGAACAATTTATTATGGCAGATAATGGGAAGAACGGGTCATGGAGTGGATAAGAGAATCTTCAGTTTATATGCTAATGTTACATTGAGGTTAATGGAACAAAACACTCTACACCGATAATTTAAAATATAAATGAAATTACAAAAGAGCAATATGATTTATAAATCTGAAACTAGATCTCAAACTGTGACAGATGATTGAATTGTGTGGCCGGTGGATTATTACATGACTAATATAAAACACCAGGCAACCATTCACGTAACGCCACACACTATATTGAAGATTAGTACTTACGATTAGCATGGTTGACTACATACGATGCGAAAGAAGTTCTACATGCATGATATGTATATATACCAAACCCACCCTGTGTTTTACCTGCTTAAAAAAATCTGTTGAAACCATTGATACAGAATGCCAGTAGGCTGACTGGCCTACAGTTAAATGTTACTTTATATCTTTTTTTGACAAAACACCCCTCGTCTCTCACGATTTTGTATGCAATGATGTTAATTGTGCAGTGTATGATGACTACGTGTTGTACTAATTGTCATGAGGTGACCCTGTGCAACAGACCATATGCCTGCTGAACCTGTACCAGAACCCACAGAATGTGGCCCAGACGGCCAACGGGACAACCTGTAAGTACTGCGTCACCGGGCCCTGTACACATTCAGCATCGGGGCCCACATTTCGAGATGCCCTTGTTTCAACACATCTACACATGATAACCAGTGCAGGGAATTACCAAAGTGTGCCATCTGCTGTGATGTAAATAATGTTGCAGGGTATTTCAGATTGGCAAGCATATTGTAGTTTGTGTGCTGGCTCCGTGTGATGGGCACCAGAGGGCAGTTGCAGAAAAAAAAATTTTGCACTGTAGGTCTATGCCCAAACATCTATGCGCAACCCCACCTTTACCATCCTTCACTGAACATCATGGTCATGTATGGCACAATAACCCTGAGAACCCTCGAGGCCTTTCACCTAGCAGTTGCTTGACAAAGGACTTCACCCACATCCTTTCATATTTTTATTTCCCACATGTGAGAAATGGATTAATGGTATTGGAATAATTAAATAACATGATTAACTGATATTGGATAGTAAAATAAATACAAAGGAAATGTACGCCCTCTTCTGGACACAACTTTTCCAGTTCTCTTGTAAAATTGGCAAATAGAGGTTGGTTCGTGGACATTGAAGTGTTGTGTTTTGAGCTGCTTAACACTACCACCCTGAGGCAGACATGGTCATTGCGTCTATACGAGCACATGGACTCCCATCATCGGAGCAGAATCGCAATTACTTTTGGAAGAAAACAAGTGGAAAGAATATGTATTTTTTCCAGTTTTGCAGATATGTGATTGTTATTATTATTGTTGTTATGCTTGTTTAACCAGGAAAGCCTCCGTGAGTCTCGTGACTCTTTTTCAGGTTGGTCCTGCCAAACTTTCGCAGTGGCGATAATCGCTATGCGTTAACGAATTTAGTTATTCGGGGGGTAAAATGATTATTTTTTTTTTACCATGACACCGACGTAAATTTTTCAGCTTTCGTGATGACATCACGGCGTGTTTAACGTTCACCGTTAAGCAGACTGCGCGTATATTTTTGCGGTTAGTACTTCCCCCAGTAATTACCGGGATGGCTGTTGGATTAAAACCATGAACCTCAACAACACACTACAGCTGGGCCATGTCGCCACCCCCTTGAGCGGGTTACATCCCTTTGACACGCGTTTGACACGAGCATGTGACATCTGCTGCAGGTATGATCAGCGATGTCGAGATGCAGCAGCATTATGACGACTTCTTCGAGGTTAGTGAGTTTACATTAAACTGCGCATGTGTGTGTGCGCGCACGTTTGACACTTCACGTGGCCTTAACGTGCGCATAACCTGACACAAGTGCCATGGTGACGTCAGCGCCACTTAATGTTGTACAACTTAATAATTTTTATTTAGACTGTAGGAATCCGATGAGCTATGAAGCCCTTTTTCACAGATGTCCAGTATGAGCAGGTCAGCAAGTTACAACAGCAAACAATACAAAAAAACGATATGGAATGGAAAATATAAGCAATTAATCATAAATAAATAATGCGTTGATTCATTTTATTTGAAGCTTTCGTGACTGCAGGAATCCATACTCTTTGGTTCTTTCGGTAAAGTCACGTAGGTAGAAAAAAATAATAGATCACGACGTTTCGATCGCAACACAAGCGACCGTCTTCAGGTGACGGTCGCTTGTGTTGCGATCGAAACGTGATCTATTATTTATTCTACCTACGTGACTTTACCGAAAGAACCAAAAAGCGTTGATTAATTATATAAGTCCGATTTATCAAGATTGGGCAAGGCAGCAAAAACAAAACAGTCCCAGACCACACCAAGATAAACACACAGCCCCTCAATAAAAAGGTACATTAACATTGAAGTATAGACACACTGGTAATGATCACATTGGCAATTTTTAAAGTAAGTATATAGCTATGGAGGCCTTGCGATAAACCATATCCATAAGTGACATTTACCATGTGTATTCCAGCATTTACCTGAGCCAAAGGTGCATTAGCTGTCATTGTTGTATGGGTTTGTAGTAATTTTCAACAGTTTGTTGAAAATACTGGCATTGTGTACGCAGCTGTCCTGTGATTGCAGTTCCTCCCAGAACAAATTGGAAGGTAAATGCCTCAAGCGCATTACTAGAGATTGTTTTAATAGTCGTTATACTTATATTACATTGTATTCATTTCATGTTATTTTGTGTAGTACGGTATCATATTTTATCAGTTATTCTTTTGAAACAAAAGCCCTCCACAACACATTTGTTTTATTATTACGTATGCTATTGACCTTACATATACAGTAGATACAAAAATATGAATCATTGGATTAATTGTCTGAAAGAAAATGTAAGCCTGCGGAAACAAAGCAATACAGCTCAAGTCATTGTGTGCATGAGGATAATGTAACAATGCTTTGTTAATGCCTTTGATATTTTACTGGGTTTGGCGATTTGTTCCAATTGCACCTGCACAGACCGTAGCCAGGGCATGCATATAGGCCATCTCTTGTGGATGCACGCTGCCTTGCTGTCCAATTTCATATATGTACTCGGGAAATGCATACAATTGGGCATTGCGCGAATGGGTGTGTTGGCGAGTTCAGTGGCCGGCATGCGTGTTGCGGTCGGAGTGGCTCAACGTCATTGCTGCTAATGCTTCCCACCACCAACAGGAGGTGTTTGTGGAGCTGGAGGAGAAGTACGGAGAGATTGAGGAGATGAACGTCTGCGACAACCTGGGAGATCACCTGGTCGGAAACGTCTACATCAAGGTAAGCTCATCGCCTGCGCAGTGCCACGTAGACGCGTCGCTCGGCATACCACTGCACGACACGCTGCCACCCACACCGGCTGGCCGTTGCCATTGCTCTGAGGAGTGTCTTAGGCTGATGCTTACTTTATTGAATGCTGTAATAACACAAAGGTATTGTTGTTGCCTGTGGCCAAATTGTGCAGACTACATCCCTTCTTGTCACGTCTGCTAAGCTAACTAGAGTTGATCCTGGGTAATGCTTGGATGGGCTGGGCGACCACCGTGCACCAACAGGTTGCCATAGGGCTACGAGGCTTACACTGGGCAGCAGAGAGGCCAGCGCATGTGATCCTGTGCAACAAATATTAGAGGGCACACACAGTTGGAGCCAGACAGACACACAGACATATGGTCAAACAAAGGGAGGAAAACAGATACGCCACAAACATGACACACCAAGGTTAATATAGGGCACAGAACAGACGCACTAATGATTTGCGTAATGTTTTCAAAATCACTCGGGAATGTGCCCGATCTCGGAAGGGAAGCATCGTTGTTAGTACTTGGATGGGTCATCGCTGTGCATGGCAAATTGTTACGGGTTGTGGAGCTTTGTGGTAGGAAGCAAAGGCCAGTGCAACTAAAACAATTGTTATACTTTACTTCTTGGCTGCCACGTCTATCTTTCCTGTCTTGTCTAAACTCCACCGACCGGTGGGGTTATGACGTTTGGCGACAGATAACCACCATGTCTGCATGGTGTGGGGAGGCCCTCATTCAGCAGTACCATTGCCTTTAGAAATACCGTAAACTTATTTAACATGTTAGAATGAATAGGTTATTACAATACATTTTAAATAATATCTCACAGAATTATGGTTACTTGACAAAAGTGCAGTTATGGGTAAAGTTACCAATTTATGTGTGTCTGTCTGTGCTTGTGTGTGGCCATTCGTAGTTCCACTCTGAGGAGGATGCAGAAAAGGCCGTCAACGACCTCAACAACCGTTGGTTCAACGGGCAGCCCATCCAGGCTGAGCTCTCTCCTGTCACTGACTTCCGGGAGGCCTGCTGCCGCCAGTACGAGATGGGGTGAGTCGCACCTGAAGACTCGTCGATATTGGAACTCGCTGTGAAAGCCTTTTAGTCGTCGTACTTATATTGCGTATCTTTTACCAGTTTTTAGTTTTTGCGTTACTTACGTTTGACTTATTCTCATATGTAACCATGTGTGACTGAGCCACAATCTTTGCTGTGGGCTCTGAAATGTCCTTGACTGTGTTATCTAATGGACTTTTGCTCCCCCCCCCCCTCCCCCTGCTTGTTTTTGGTATCTGTAGGGAGTGCACACGTGGAGGCTTCTGCAACTTCATGCACCTCAAGCCCATCTCTCGCGAGCTGCGTCGGGAACTGTATGGACGTGGCAAGCGCAAGCGGTAATTACCAACGCGGTCCACAAGCACATATTTTGTTCCAATGAACGTTTGTGTATTTGAAAGAACAGAGTGATTTCCCGATGCTAAATTCTACAAATACTTGTGCAGTCGTTCAGATGAGGGCCTGCCAACACCGTGCAGGTTGTGACGCTTATTTGACTGTTTTTCACGCTGGTCACTGCGGATTTGTGAAGATGTTGGGTCATGGATGTGGGAGCATACACACTGCATCACTTCTCTCTGCTGCCCATTACCTAGCTTGGCGGCTTATAACAACCTCGTGTGCATTGTTTAATGCATGGTCACCCATCCAAGGACTGTAGGCTCAAGCTCCCAAAATCTGACTCATTCTGGGTAATTTTGGCCTTGGTGCCAAATGCAACAATTTGGGGACTTGCAAAGTTTAACTATGAAGACGCTAAAATTTTGATTTAAAGCTTTCGTGACTGCAGTAATTCATATTCTTAGTTTTTTTCGGTAAAGTCACGTTGAAGAGAAACAACAAAATAACAAAATATATATAATTGTTTTATATATATTTTGTTGTTTCTCTTCAACGTGACTTTACCGAAAAAACTAAGAATATGAAGACGCTATCGTAGCCGAAACATAAGTTGCAGAGTTGGGCAATATGACTGGAGAATAAATTTTCATTTCTGCATTGTGTGGTCCGTATATCCTAAAAAATATCTGTGAACTGAGAATGCATTTGAAACTATTTTGTTCCAATAGGCAGGTGCTAACAGCTGGTGCAGTTAAATCCAGTTAATGACCAATGCTTTGAGATAATCTGAATGCGGCCATTAAGTTTGTACCTTCGCAACTCAAACCACCACAATGTGCGGAACCTACCACATACCTGGTTGGGTAACTTTGATGCAAAAACTAGCAAAAAAGAATGTGTTTGTAGTGGACAGGCGGCAGATAAGCATTGGTGTGCGTGCGCGCGTGTGTACAGACGCCGTTCCCGGTCACGCTCGCGGGAACGTCGTCGATCTCGCTCCAAGGAACGGCGCCCTGACCGCAGCCGTGAGAGACGTCGTTCCAAGGAGCGCGCCGGCCGCTTCTGAAGCAGTGGCTTCCTTGCTCCCCTCCCCTTCTTTAGCTCCCTCTCTCGCTTGCTGGCTCCCTTCTTCACCTCACCCCTCACTTCTTTTATCCCTCGCCTCCTTTCCATGCCTCCTTGCTCACTCCCTCATTCGCTCCCTCCCTCACCTCCCATGCTTCCTCCCTCTCTCGCAGCCTTCCTCACTCACCTCCCTCACTCATTCCGCCCCCTCCCCCCAACTCGCTCCCTTGTTCGTTTACGAGAGAGCAGATTTTACGTAAACTACCAGGGCTGCAAAGGGCTTCTGTCTGCACGTGCACACTCACTCGCAAGCACGACAGCCCGCAAGGCAATTTCTGTACAAATACGAGCATTATACATGCCGCTCCCCACGTGAGCATCCGTTTTTACCGATACCATCTTCACACCACGCATGCGTGCACACAATTTCTGAGGCCGATCTTAAAGGTTGCAGGTTTAACTCAAGGTTGCACCAAAGAAAGTTTGGCTGACTTAATTTGGGTCCCTTTGGCTCCCAGCGGCCAGTTGCAGTGGCCGACCTGCAGTGTTGTGTAACGCAAGTTAATTTGTATTCATCGCGAATGAAACAGTTTAACCTTGACTTCAAACCTGCAGTCTTGTTAATTTAAAGTGTTGAGTCATACCCCAGCAGGTCGTGTCTGTTGCGTGTTAAACAGTCTAACATGTAGCGTCTGTGTAAGTTGCACTGCGTTGTAGGATTTCATTATAAAATCACAAAAGACCAAAAAAACCTGACTGTTTTCCTCTTTTTATTTGCCATTAAGAGAACGTCGCTTGTGTCGTTAATTTTGTATCTGGAGTAATCCACGAATAAAGACCCATTTGGTGCCGTATGGTTTCCGTCTAAAGTGGATCTATATCACGATTTAAAGTTTAGTGTGCATTGAAGGATAGAAACCAATAGCAAGGACAAAAAAACCAAAAGTAGTTTCAAATTAGTTTTCAATATAGATTTTTAATTTTATATAAGCGAACGATTGCATGGAAAAGAAAACACAATTTAAACTGCAATAATATTCAAGCTTCCCATAGTTGGGCCTTTTAAGCCTGGATGACTTGTAAGGCAGCCTCTTGTCAATTTTCAGAGGCAATTTGTGGTCTTGATGTCTTCTATCAGGTTCAGGACGTTGTCCATCGACTGAAGCCCCATCACGTACATCCGACTGAAACACGGGTGCACATTAGAATCATGCCATTCGTTACCGATGTGGGTCTTCGTAGTTGAGGACATTGAAAGTGCCTGAACTATACAACAATATCTATTGACAAAAGAATAGAATATGCCTGTATGATTTTTCAAAGTGCTCCGATATTGATTTCCACCATTATAAAACGGTTAATATTTTTTTGAAGGGCCCGAAAAATAAGGCTGCGGCCTCAAAAACCTGCATTAATCCAGCCCTGGTCACATCACACATTACAAGTTGCATGGATCAAGCTGTGAAGTCAGTATTTAGAGAGAGCTGGTATTGAGGTAAAGGGGCAAAACTGTGTTATGAGAACACGGCTGTTATGGTGCAGTGTACGCTGTTAGGTTGTGCTTTCGTGAAATGAGTCGTCCATAAGATGTTATGTCGGTAGCCAAGTGACTCTTTGGAACTTCCCCCCCTGCATGCTACTCTCTGTGCCCCCTTTTTTGAGCCTTTGGCCGTTCTGAATTTAAAATTAAGTTTGATTTGTGACATGGATGGCCCCGTTTATCCAGTTACCCAGTTATTTTTACAACGGGGGATCCGTGGTGCGTGAGCACAGCAGCAGCAATAAAATGTTGCAGAAAACCAGTACGCGGTCCTTAAGTGAGAGTTGCACAATTGTTAACGAGGTGTTTTAATGGTCTTCAAGGAAACGAGTGAATCAAAAACAAAACTGCTCCTCTGAGAGCAAAAGGTGTCAAGAGTAAAAGTTAGGTACAAATTGCAAGGAAGCTCTTTTTTATTTTAGGGAAATAAGAGTGGAAGTGAAGGGAGGGGGGCAACCAAGCTGCAGGTGAGGGACAAGGGGCATTAACTTGGTGCGGCAGCGCGTAAAGACTTTACCGGTGTTTTAGCAGGTTGAATTGTGAGTCGGAATGAGAAGGCGCTGCTGAGGCCATGGGAAGGAGAGGGTCTAAATGATATGGTAGATGGATTTTTTTAACAAGACCTTTAGGATGAAGATAGCCCAATGGTGGCCTCTCCAGATATCCAGGGGACAGATTTGAGTTCATGTTTTGGTTGCCATGATGAGTTCAACAGGTGGGGGGGGGGGGGGTCAAGGGGCAACATGGAGAGAGCGGAGTGGAACAGTGAAGTGAGAAGTTTTAATGAGATTCAGAATTGAGGCGGTAGATGGTGTTATAAAAATCAAATATGGGCAGGATGGTGGCTTTATATTTCGACGGAATCGAGGTGTAATAACTGGACAGCATTGGTTTCTGTATAGGAATTCAATGTTGATTTTCATCTTATTCGCCATGTGGTCAATGTGGTTCTTGAAAGACCGTTTTGAGTCCAGGATAAAGCCTAGCGAGTTTAAGTTATCAACCTGCTCAGTAAGGTGGGAGTCCAGAGCTGCAACGTACATTGGTGGTGAGACATCCATAGAATGACATAACTTTCGTCTCTTTAGAATTGAGGATCACTTTTAGGGCGTTGAATGTTGATATTGAAGGTTATCGAAGTCCCCTTGTTGATGCCGTTGTAACGCCTCTATGGAATTTCCGGTGGCCATCAGAGCTTTGTGGGTCTTAAAGTTTGTGACGTTCCCCAGACAAAACCCCAGATTTTAAGAGAGATCTCAAATTCAAACAAAGGAGAATAGGGTTTTTCCCCTTTTTCTGGCAACAAAACTGAAACCTTTTTACAAGGATTTTATGTCTGCATTAACCACAATACCTGCAGTCAAAATGGAAACAAAAACATGTTAATATATGCATTGTCCTTGAAACTGATTGGTCCACACCAAGGGACGGCTTTATTTTTAGCCTCGACCCAATTGGTGCTCGACCAGATGACGCCAAAAGGCGTACAGCTCAAAGACAATTGGGTCGAGGCTCAAAAGAAAGCCGTCCCTTGGTGTGGACCAATCAGTTTCAAGGACAATGCATATATTATCATAGTATGTTTTTTTGCATTTTGATTGCAAGTATTGTGGTTAATGCAGACATGAATCCTCGTAAAAAGGTTTCAGTTTTGTTGCCAGAAAAAGGGGAAAAACCCTATTCTTATATTTTGGTACTGGCAAAGGAGGTCTAATGATGTAGATGCTCGCCCCGAGCCCTCATTACTTTGATAGTGCATTGTCTTTGAGCTGTACGCCTTTTGTTGTCATCTGGTCGAGCACCAATTGGGTCGAGGCTCAAAAGAAAGCCGTCCCTTGGTGTGGACCAATCAGTTTCAAGGACAATGCATATATTATCATAGTATGTTTTTTGTTTGCATTTTGACTGCAATTATTGTGGTTAATGCAGACATGAATCCTTGTAAAAAGGTTTCAGTTTTGTTGCCAGAAAAAAGGGGAAAAACCCTATTCTTATTTTTTGGTACTGGCAAAGGAGGTCTAATCAAACAAAGGAGGTTATCGCAAGGCTGTTGCGATTCAAGTTACAATTCAACGTCGCCAAAGAGGGGCTTTAAAAAAAAATAGCGCCCTACATGAATGGAATTTTTTTTTAGAAGGATAGTACACAAAGTAGGGTGGGGGGGAAGCAATGTTTACCTGGTTTGCCCCACATTGAGTTCAGTAACAGCGTAATGGACGGTTATCTGATGCCCTCTATGGTACTATCATCAGAGTGGCACTTGCAAAAATTATTTTATAACGCTCATGAACCTGACTGCATTGAAAGTGGCTGGTTATGTATGTACTGTATGCGTGTTGAGCTTCTTTCGCACCGTACGTAGCCAACCGTGCTAATCGGAGGTGCGGGATGGAGGCTTTTCCCGTCAGGTGCAGACTTAATGAGTAAAAGCAGTTACTCACTGAAGCTTCTCTGCCACGGGAGACTCGAAGATGCCCGTGATCACACGCAGGATCCCCTCCTCGATGGAGCGAAAGCCTGACTTCACAGTCTTCCTCAGTGCCTCTTGGTTTAGGGGCAGTTTGGCTGCCATGCCTAGGGTGTGAGAGGAACGGAGAGGGGTGAAGGAAGCTGATAAGGTTTTGGGGAGCTGAGGAAGAGTGCGACAGTGTGAAGTTTAAACACGCAGCCACAATTCTGATAAGTTTTTTTTCTTTGCAGGGGGTTAGGCCACAATGATCGGCCAAATTTGTGTCGTAAATACCCTCCGCCATACGACAGCCAAAATTTAGATTGTCACGTGTACAAGCATGTCGCGCACTAAGAATGACTCGCAACAAAATCAGCAATTATTATCGAAGGCCACAATGATCCGGCCAAACATCGACTCAGCCTCAAATGAGTGTACGGCGGCGATGTGTAAACATCGCCACTAGGGAGTCAAAAGTGGTCGGGGCGTCATGCTGGCCCACCAACCCCCTCGTGTGCCGTGCGGCTGTCAGAGGTGCTCATCACACATCACTTACCCCAACAGTCTGTTGTGTCCATACGGGTGATCTTTGTACACACAAATCGCTTAAGCACAGCATGAAGTACACCTTCCGCTAATGGTGCGTTTTACCTTCAGCATGTGAACTACCCATATTAATTATCCACAATAAAGGTTTGAATAACGGTCAGTTGTAGTCTACACACATCGACGTACGTGCATGAGTGAGTGGTATTGTCCAAACATCCCAATTGGAGCCACTTGAAGATGAATCTGGAGACCTCAGCCAGGCCATATCCTGCGTGAATAATTGGTGTACGTCGTAGCTGTCGTGTTACGTTTCTTTCAATTGTTCTAATTATTCACGTTTGTGTGGAAGCAACCGTTCAATCACACCTCTGTTTGGGAGATTGTCCTTAAACCAGTGTTATAATTGCGCAGTATAATTTTAATCTCAATTATATAGTACTGTCGATGGAAGCATAATTATGTCTACATTTCTGTGCATTTATGAATTTAATTTAATTTAAAAAAATACCGTTAATGTAATGGTAATAAAGCCAAAGTTTATTTTTACTGAAACTTCGTATATCTAATAATCGCATATCGAGGTATTTACTTTATAGGATAGACGGATTATTGAGGATATGCAGTCCAGTACTCACCTGTAGCCAGAAAGCAGAACAGCAGCACGGTGAAGACCTCTGCTCGTGTCATGACTCCTCTGTTGCAATCACCCGAAAATAAACCACAGTGGGTTCCGAGCAGAAGGGATCAAAATCATAAGCATCTGTGGTGCGCTGTGGTGGGGTGGCGGCTTACAATGCACGTGGTGGCCCGTAATCCAGCACTGTGGATCGCGCGATTGATGCGAAACTCCCGAACCGGGGGGCATTGAGGTGCCATGCCCCGGGGGTTTCCAGCAGATGGCAGTACAGCAAACACTCTATCCCACACGTTTGTCTTTGCGCACACGAATCGCATGAGCACAGCATGAAGTACACCTTCCCCTAATGGTGCGTTTAAACTTCAACATGTGAACTACCCATATTAATTATCCACAATAAAGGTTTGAATAACGGTCAATTGTAGTTTGCGTGGGATAGAGTGTTTTAAACAAAGCTATATTTTCTTTATTTTGCCAGGTATGACCCACTGAGCTACGTGGTTCTTTTTCAGAAGCGACGTGGCCATCACAAATGATAGCACGTCGAAGCGGCTTATCACGTGGCCATTTATATTTCACCTGAAGACGATCGCTTGGGTTGCGTTCGAAACGTCGTGATTTGTTTTCTATCTACGTGACTTTTACCGAAAGACCCAAAGAGTGTATATATACACTGTCTAGCAGACAAATACTCGAAACGCACGTTTATTTTAAATGTGGAGGCAAAACACCAGAGGACCCGGAGAAAAATCCACGCGACCACGGGTAGAGAGACACGAAAACTACAAATATACAGGCATAATGGTCGGGATCGAACCCACGCCCTCCTGTATAGACAGGCGAGGTAGTTGACAATTCGCCAAACGTAGTGGACCACGAGTCAGTTTTTTTTCCCGAGTGCTCCAAGTTCCCTCCCGCCACCTCTCCCCGTATATAAACGCTCATTGGTTGAGCGATAACACCTTAATATATAGAGGACGGCAGAGCTTGGGCAATTGTTGGCGCCGGCTCACTGCGTGGCTGCCGTCCTGATTGTCTGTGGTTCCTCCGATCGCCTCTGAGCCGTTCTCTCCGCCACGAGAGTGAGCGAAAACTGTGCGACTGCGTGTTACACGTTGAATTTTATTGTTATATAAAACAAATATAAAAGTACGCTTTATTGCAAGGATAGTTTTTTATAACCAAAATCACTCATATCATTAATCAGATTGCAAAACACGAGCAATCGTCTTCAGGTGAAATATAGATGTCCACGTGATAAGCCGCTTCGACGTGCCATCATTTGTGATGGCCACGTCGCTTCTGAAAAAGAACCACGTAGCTCAGTGGGTCATACCTGGTAAAATAAACAAAATATAGTTTTGTTTAAAACACTCTATCCCACACAAACTACAATTGACCGTTATTCAAACCTTTATTGTGGATAATTAATATGGGTAGTTCACATGTTGAAGGAAGGAGTGCGTGGGTTCGATCCCGACCCTGACGCCTGCTGCTGTATATTTGGAGTTTGCGTGCCTCTCTCTCTCCCCGTGGTCGCGTGGATTTTTCTCCGGGTCCTCCGCGTTTTCCCTCCACATTTAGAATCAACATCTACAGAGTATTTCGCTGCTATAAAATTCCACGTGTTGATAAGCTACTTCGTTGGGTTATCATTTGTGTGGCCTTGTTGCTTCGGAAAAAAATATCTGCATATCTCAGCGGGCCTTACCTGGTAAAGTGTCCGGGCTCTTCGTATATACGACGGTAACGAGAGCTGATCCTGGGTGGTAATGCTTTGATGTGCGACCACCCTGCACAAACAGGTTGCCATAGGTCTGTGCGGTTTACACTGTGGGCGGCAGAGAAGGCAGTGTGCCCTGTGCAACAAAGATCAATTGGCACGCACAGTTGGAGCCAGACACACAGACATATGGTCAAACAAAGGGAAGAAAACAGATACGCCGCAAAACTTGTGACAGACGAGAGTTTAATATCGGGCACAGAGCAGAGACGGACAGAACAATCCGCATAATGTGTTCCACGCAAGCCTTGGACTAAATCGCCAGGGAATGTGCCCGCTCACATCAGATCTCGGAAGCTAAGCAGCGGTTTGAGCCTGCACGGTGCTGGGATGGGTGACCGGAATTCACATGCAGATCGGCATCGGCCCTGGTGAGCAGCAGAGGGGCAGTGCACCGAAGGTCCATCGTTGCACTGTGTTTCTACGCTCCCTGCCACACCTCCGATTGGCACCGTTGGCTACGTCCGGTGCGAAGGAAATGCAACAGACACACACCATCACCAGCTCACACCGACCAGCATGGAGAATGGACCGTGGTCAAATGACCCTGCGTTGTGAACCCCCCCCCCCCCCACAAACCAAGCTCACGTGGATATAAGCCAGCTCTGGGAACGGACATTCATATCAGCCATAAGAGGTCCACGTGCCAACTAAGCAAGGATTTTGCAATTTGTGGACATTTTCGACCGAAGCTTTGAGTAAGCGAAAGAGATGCGTGCGTTATTGTGAGCGCACAGTGTGTTTAGTGAGCGCGCTTGTGAGCATGTGACCGCGTATGAATGCGTCTGCACACACGTGTAGGCGCATGGTTGGGTGTGTGGTTGTATGTGTGCGAATGTGCAGAGCAGCGGTGCACTGGTTAACGCATAGCGCTACGAACCCGGCCGCCCGAGTTCGATTCCCGCTCACGAATAATTTGATCCGGTCTTGGGCCTCCGCTGGGTCGACTCCGGCGAGTACCTGGTATATGTGTACGTTGAACTTCTTTCGCACCGTACGTAGCCAACCGTGCTAATCGGAGGTCCTGTGCGGCCATTCATAGGTTATCGCTAACAGCACACGTCCCAACAGTCTGCTAAGGCGACACGGGATTTTTAGTTTGTTTGTGCGGAGCAGTAGCAATAGTGGTTAGCACACTACGAAACCCAGCGATCCGAGTGCAGTTCCTGGCCATGGCTAACATCGGTTGCGAATATATGAACTTGCTTCTGGGCCTCACATCCCATCGGTTGACTCAGCCCTAAATGCGACATCGTTGCGTGTGCGCGGCACACCAACCCTTCATGCACAATGCCATCTTGAATAGGTGGTCGTCAACAGCACTCGCCTTACTATTCTATGCAGGCTGCGCGGGGAGATCTCAGTCCAGTTGTCGTGAACGTGCAGTGCCTCTTTTAGTCACCATACTAAACCATCGGTCGGTCAGCGCGAATGTTGAGATGCACTCTTGACAAACGTGTTCATCCGACAGCACTTCATGTCATTTTTTATTTTACCAGGACAGCCCGAGTCTCAAGACTAATTTACAGGAGGCTCCTGCTAAGTGTTGCAGTACCGGGTGACAAGTTATACTTGGCTTTAATCAAGGCAGGGCAATTTATCATCATTTGCAGTGTAACGGCGGGACAAATAGCCTACTAAAAAAAACTTCACTCGATATTTAACGTCCACTATGAAGCAGACGGCGTGTATTGTTTTGGTTAATACACTCGGCAGTATTTTCCAGGGCGGCCACTGGTTTCGATCAGGGAACCTCTGCACACAAGGGGGGAGATGGTGGGGGGTTGGCAAACGGACGACCGCTCAGCCATGTCACGGCTCCAATCACGTAGTGCATGGGCCAGAGCGGAAATCGGAACAGCGCCACGTAAATGCAGCAACGCTTTAAGCAATTCACATCTATTCATAAGGTTACTAAGAGTGGAATTAGTTAATAGCCCCACGCATTTCAAACGGTTATCTCGAAAGTCGCTGTTATTGGGCACGGAACGAGATTGCGAGCACGAAGGTTGATGCCACTTCGGGTGGCGCCGACAAGCGAGATATATCTGGTCTGGGCTCTTGAACTAAGATCGCTTGTTTAAAAGGAGAACCACAGTTTACGCGTTTTTATTATTATTACACGCTTTTATTTAATTCGTTCCGTTTGTTGTCGTTGTATCCTCAAATCTTGTAACTAAATTTTAACCCACTTCCCAATGTGGTATCGACTGCAAACTTGGTATACTTATGTCATACTGATGACAATACTATATTGTATCATTAAAAAAAAATGTCAACATTCTTTTTTATATGTTATGTTTCGGCTTGAGTCTAATTGTCCACGGTCAACTGACGTTGGCTGTAAATCACCACGGGTCCCCTTACGTTGTGGCAAGCTTCAGGGCCACTTCCTGGAGTCGTGGAGTTCTGCCATTACTCGTACGGTACATTTCATTAAAGCGTGTTTTTAACAAAAAGTTTTTAAAAATATTACTTATTTTTCTCAGTTGCTTGATTTTGTTCTTGCTGACCGTGCGATGAGGCCCTGTCGTCGGTGACTCAAGAAGGGTGTTTACATGGCCTTTAATAGCTCCGGCATGCCACTGTCGTAAACGAAAACACATGACCAGTTTTTTTTGTTTGTGCCCACTATCAGAGACTCTGTATGTGTGCTTCATGTGGGTGCGATTGGGTTATTGAGTGGATGGAGTCTGACAAGTGAATGCTGGGACTGCAAAACTTTGGACTCCAGACCACAAATCAATGCAGAGTGATAAGAGACTATACAGATAGAAAAACAATAATATTCCACCATGCCATCCTCTCAGTGCCGGATTAAGCTAGTGCGGGGCCTGTAGCATATGTTATAAAAGCGCCCTAAATAAAAACAAAACACATACATATTTAAACCCAAATGTTTAACGTGCATAGTAAAGTAATTGTATTTTTTCATTTGCTATACAGCCAGATAATACGACAAATCGCTAATATTAAACACCGCAGTCGTTCATAAAAGTTGAAGGCGGTATAGTACTACAGTAATAGAGCAAGTGCAGAATCACTGAACCGGAATTGATAGCTTCACAGCATTCAGCGCGGGGCCCGTAGCATATGCTACTTTTGCTACTCGGATAATCCGGCACTGCATCCTCTTCGATACACACACCGATGCTTTGTTTGCTCGCGGGAAGCAAAGGTTATGGGTCGGCTTTGGAATGTGAACTGATAACACGTGTTGCCCCAGAGGAGAGGTCTTTAGGTTCGCATTCACAATAAACATACACATGTGTTGAACCCAAGCGCAGATGCTCACAAAGCAGAGCTTGAGAGCAGACTACACCCGAACACTTTGTGGTACACCTCCTTCTGCCACTGACCACAAATTGGTTTACATTGACACGTGGCATGATGATACATTTTGGGTCTCATCAGCATGGCACGTTGATATGTTCTGTTCGACATAGGGGCGTATCATCGTTAGCACGGGCCCCGGGGCACATGAGGGACCACCCCCCTCCCGTCCAATTTCTTAAATGTGTCTATGGGCCCCCTAAACCGTGCAGTTACAAATACAAGCTGC